CTTGTAATTATCAAATTTCTGTGATAAAGTTCTATTGGCAAAATGGTAGGTTATTGCAAAGTCGAGTATATAAAATATTAAAGTTAAAACAATTAAGGACAATTTAAAAACACTAAAACAGAAAACACTTAGAAGGGACGAAACAAACATTAAATTTAAAAAGGGGAGAAAGACTTTTATGCACTACATCTCAGTCTTGGGCACAATGAGTTTTTTATGTTATCTATTAGATTTTAGTGGTAAATTTGACAGATGTAGGTTAGCATGTGACAGTTCTTCTTCTATTTCTCAATACTTAACTAATAACTAACTTAACTTAACTTGCAGTATTGAGAAATAGAAGAACTGTCACATGCTAACCTACATCTGTCAAATTTACCACTAAAATCAACACCCTAATATGGGTTTTTATTATTTCAGCATTTATTTAACTTTGTATCGAGACCTGAAGATGCTTTGCATATTGTAGAAAGCGAAACCGGTCGTCTGAATAGTTAAATTAAATTGATTGTAAGTCTTATTTATTATTTCTTTACCTATTTGAAATGGACTCACACAAGCAACACCTTCATGATTTTTCATAGATCTCTTTTTTGTAAGGTCATAATTTAAATAAAGGGTTCAAAAAATTTATGATTTTAAGAGCTTTGGGCCTCAGAAATGCTAATTTTACAGAAGAGAGGAATATAAAATTGATGGTAGATTTAAAATTTCTTTCACAAACAAGTGTAGTGAACGTAATTTAAAATCTAATTCGTAATTATTATTAAAAAAATTGTTTATTCGTTGATTTTCATTATTCAATATATACGAAAAAAGTTAAAATATAATGTGATAGGTTTAATAAACGAACTTTGAAAAATTAAGGCAAATATGGAGCACAATTTTTATTAATCAAATCTTGCCCAAGTACTTTCGCTTTCTACAGCATCATCAGGGACATTTCGTCAAATTTGGGCTATCCAGCAAGCGCAGAATGTAATAAGCATGAGATTGGACATAAATTGTACATAACACTACATTAAAACAAGGACAAACAGCATAAAAGTATTCAAAATTATTCTACGTTCTACATTCTTGTCGGCAACAGGAGAAAGAATGGTATTTAACGGAAAATGCTCCTGTTGCCGATAAGAATGTAGAGCGTAGAATAATTTTTAATAATTTTAAACTGTTTGTCCTTGTTTTAAGGTAGTGTTATGTACAATTTATGTCCCATCTTATGTTTATTACATTCTGCGCTTGCTGGATAGTCCAAATTTGATGAAATGCCGCTGATGATGCTGTAGAAAGCGAAAGTACTTGAGCAAGATTTGATTATTAAATTTGTGCTCGATTCTTCTTCTTCTTACGGTGCCTTATCCTTAAGGACGTTGGCCATTACATTTTGCCATTTAATTTTATTTGTAGCAGCCTGAATGGGCTATGGAGGTCATGTTCGTCCATTGCCGTAGGTTTTTAAGCAAGAGTTGCGTCTTCTTCCTGGTCCTCTTTTGCTATTGACTTTGCCTTCGATTATAAGTTGGAGCAGTTCATACTTTTGATTTCTTATGATGTGACCAAAATATTGTGTTTTCCGTTCTTTTATTATAAGCATAAGCTGTCTTTCCTTATTCATCCTCCGCAAGACTTCCGCATTTGTCGTATGGCTCATGTAGGATATTCTGAGCATTTTACGGTAACACCAAAGTTCGAATGCTTGGATTCTTTTTGTGTTGCTTCTGTCATTGTCCAGGCTTCAACACCATAGAGCAAGGTGGAGAAAACATAGCACTTAAATATTCTAGTTCTCAATGAGATGCCCAGCTGGCGGTTGCATAGAACTTTTTGCATTTGTAAAACATTGCATTGTGCTCGATATTTGCCTTAATTTTTCAAAGTTTATTCGAGCATTCGACCTTATGTCAATGGTTTAATAAATAGTCAATGACTAATACGAGGGTGGATTGGTATAAAACTAGCCTTTGATAGAAAAAACAAGTTTTTTTGGAATTAAATCGATTTATTTCTCAACATAGACCCCTCTAACTTCAATACACTTACTAAGACGATGTTCCAATTTTTTTATCCCATCTGAATAGTACTTTTGGTCGAGCTCTTCAAAATAGGCCGAAGTTTCAGCGACGACTTCATCATTTGTTGGGAAACTGCGTCCTCCGAGCCATTTTTTTAGATTTGTAAACAGAAAAAAATCGCTGGCGGCAAGATCTGAGGAATACGGTGGGTGTTCAAACCAATTCATAGCCCAATTCGTGTAATTTTGCTATAGCGACGGTCGATCGGTGAACTGGTGCATTGTCTTGGTAAACGAGCACTTTTTTGCGTTCCAAATCGGATCGATCCAATAATGCTGCGTAGACCAATGTATTGTTTTTCCTTTTTCCAAGTAGTCGATGTGGATAATACCCTTCACATCCAAAAAACAGTCGCCATCACGTTCTTTGGTTTCTGGTGTGTAATAATGCAACCAGGTTTCATCAACGGTGATAAATCGGCAAAAAAAATCTTTCGGATCGCCAAAAGCGTCTCCGAAGTGGTCACATGTTTTTGCATTTGATCGATTGTCAATAAACGCGGCACCCATCGCGCGGATAGCTTTTTCATGTCCAAATGATGGTGAATGATGTTGTGTACGCGTTCGTAGGAAATGTTTAGGACCTCTATTAACCCGCGGAGCTTCATTTGACGATCTGCCATAATCGTGTCATGGACTTTGTTGATCATTTCCGGCATGGTGACTTCATTTGGCTTCCCGGGACGCGCATCATCAAAAAACACTCGTACGACCACGAACAAATTCAGCTTTCCAAAATTTTACTGTTGCTAATGAAGGTGCAACCTCACCATAAACTTCGTCCAGGTCGGCTTTGATTTGCACATTCGTTCTACCCTTTTTGTGGAGGAACATAATCACCGAACGATACTCGACTTTTTCCATTTCTACGAAAACACAAAATTTGCTTGCTTTTGACAACCAAACTAATTGTTTTTAAAACTTAAAATTTTGACAGACGTCATGTCATGAATGGCAAATGTCAACACCGAAACCAATTCGGTATCAAGTAGCGCCATCTATCAAAGGCTAGTTTAATATAATTTATCTTGGTATAGCGGTAAATGGTTTTTAATACTCCTTCTTTTTGTTGATATAGATTTTACACAGGTAACTTTCATATTTTCGAAAATATACAGGTTGTCGAAAAAACATCTATAACAAATATTTTAACCAGATTTAAAATATCAAAACAAAATTTCTAATAGCAGCCAATGAGTGAATAATCGCTGTTTTATGTCATATTTGTTGTCTTCGTTTGATATATTCATTTGTGGATGAACAAGGAACCTAATTTGTATGGTTTTAGGTTCTGTGAGTACAAAAGAGACTTCAAATAAAAAACAATTCGTGTGCAAATCTTTATTAAATATCTTGTTAATTCTTCTCTATTTCAATTTGGGGTTCTAGTAGAACTGCCCAATCTGATATTATTTTTAAATTACAAAAAAGAGTAATACGGTATCTTTTTGGTCTCAGTAGAATAACACATTGCAGAAGCTACTTCAAAAATCACGGGATTTTAACTCTTCTCTCTTTATATATTCTAGAAAGAGTTTGTTTAATTCGTAAACACCTACATGTTTTTCCAGCAAGACTTAATCATGACTACTCCACCAGAAATTCAACCTTTGATGTGTATTTATCCCGTCCACTGAGTTAGTAAAGAAATCTATTTTATATTCGGCAAAAAAATTATACAATTCTCTCCCTTTGCAACTTAAATCTAAAATTTCTACAAGTTCCGTAAATTGACAAAAGCCTATCTATCTGAAAGACCATATTTATTCGTGGAAGAGTATTTTTATATATTTATATTTGGTTATAACATGCAACAACTTAAACTTACTACTTCGTAAGGTTTTATTATGCAGTTTACAATTTAGTTAAATTTTGCAATGGATTGTATTTTATTATCTTTTATTTTGTGATATTGACGATTTATGTATTTTTAGTAAATTTTAATTGTTATTGTTAATTTTTTGACTTTTGTAAGCTTTGTCCATAAAATTTTCAGTGACAATGAAAGCATATTCTATCATATTCTTCTATTATAGGTATCGCAACCGAAATTTTGATAGTAGAATTACATTTTGTATAAATTTTTATAAACTTTCAATATTTCAATGCATTTTAGTATTTTTATCTACAATATTATACATATGATTTACAACAGTTTTATAATATTTTAAATATCTCTGAAGCAGACAATTACCGTTTTTATCATTTTATTTACCCGCAACCAATTTAAAAATGTTTTAATTAGTAAATATGTTTTAAAATAATGTAAAAATAAACCAATGAATGAAAATTGTCTCGTAGAATGTGCTTGTTCGACCGCAGATGACATAATTTCTCGTTCGCAATGATAGTCATTTTCAGGGTGATTCAAATCTTAAAAACGGAAAAAAGGTTTCCTGTATTTCTCTCTCTGTTTCTCTAGTTCGCGCGGATATTTTGGCACGACCGGTGAGGTCGAAACTTTAAAAATAGCCATCTGAACTGAAATTGAAATATACTAACACTTTTAACCAGTGAGTGATTCTGTTAAAAAATAGTGCATGTTATTTTATGTTATGTGACTATATGTGTCTAATTCGTTGTTGTGTGTTTCAGGCTTTTAACTGACTTAAAAGAAAAACGCCAAAAGACAGACAAAGATTTGAAAGAAATAGAACAAGCGTTGTTGGATATTAAGAACAAGAAATCTAGTCTCAGCAGTCTAAAACAAGAAGTAGAAAAGTTCTACGTTTTTGACGCTAACATAACAAAAACTCAAGAAGACTTGAACAACCTTCAAGCTAAAGTTAGTGACGAGATTGAAAATACTAAAGTCTTCTCTAGCGGTATTATTAAAAAATATACTGCTTTACAAAATCTTGTTCCATCTGACGTAGCACAAGAACTGAACCAATTAGAGCTACTAGCAGAGTCTATTTCTAACGCCATGGAAGAAAAAGATAGAGAATTCAAGAAAGCTAAAACCATCAGAACTGACTTCAGTAATGACGTCGATGAAGTACAATCCTGGATCAAGGACGCCGAGCTCCAAATACAAGACAGATCCATCGAGCCCAAGTATTACACCAACATCTCCAACAAATTCAATCAGAATTCGCAAGCATCAACGACAGGCTTGACAAACTCACAAGAAATGGAAGGATTATTATCCAGAAGACTAAAGACGACGAAGAAAAAGAAATCACCCAATCGACAATTAATAATTTGACTGAACAATTGTCGCACATTAAATCGTTGTTGGACGAAAGAAAGCAACAAGTTGGTGAAACATTGGATGCTTGGCAGAGGTTCTTGATGTTATACCAGGCTGTGATGCAGTGGGTAGCTGAGAAGAAGGTCTTCCTCAAGGATCCACTTCGTCTGAGTACTTTGACTGAAGCTAAACAAAAATTACATGAATATTCGGTAAGTAGATTAAATGAGAATTAATTTTCGAACACACAGTTAATAACACTTAAGTTTTTATTTCATTTTTTATTATCTTTTGTTTTTTTTAATTGCAACTGGATCTATCGGTTATATAAACAGCATTAATGAAAGTTGTTCTTATGTATGTGATGTGTTTATCTCCACAGTCTCAAAAAATTATGATTTATTGGCCACTTGAGGTCGCATAACAGATATTTTGAAAAGTTTTCCCTTCTCTTTGTCATCGCTCATCGTTTACATTATCCAAATTTTTTATTCCCTTTGATTCATATCTATAAAGACCATGTTTAGTCAAAGACATTTATCAAAAGCATTGTCAAAAACATTTATCAAGCCAAGCTACCTTATTGAATTTTTGCAACGTTATATTCTTCAAAACTTTTGTATAATTTTAGGATTTAATGTCTGCGTCACAGTTATTACTGATTAGTGTAGCTCCATACATTCTTTCACTCCATATGTCTTCACATTCATTTATCTTATAGTGTCTATCAATAATTGTAGAATCAAGCCGTAATCTTTTTGATTTCTCACTATATGTCTCAAATATTCTTTGCGTTTTGATTGTCTGTCAGAATTTCACATTCCTTTCCCATTCTGCGCAGGACTTCCGCATTGGTAACCCGGTGAACTCAGGATGTACGTGGTATACGCCATCACACCATATCTTTAAAAGTTCGAGTCGATTCATGCTTACTACAGTTAATACCCATTCCATTCCGTGAAGCAGAACTCTGAATATACAATACAATATACGCTACAATAAATAGGTGTTTTATCAAGGTGTTGCCAATCTGTGTGGTTGCCGTTATCTCTCTATGAATTGGAACAGAAAGAACCTGAAAGATTTTCTAATTTAATACTACCAACTGACATTTCAACCTATTGCGTTTTAATCAGTCATATTTTGTTCTTGAAACGATACAGTTGACTTATTGCTAGTTTGTTCTACAAATTGATGATTTAAATTTGATGAAGCCATGCTTTTGCTATTGTATTCTTGAACATACATACAAAATAACACAAACTTTCGAACATTTAGTATGTTAGATACAAAAAACTACAATTCTAGCGTGCTTCACACCAATTTAGAATGATACAAAAAGTTTCCCCCAACTTTCAACGTTTGCCGTTTAGTAGTAGTTGTGAGAAAAGTTTACATTTCGGTGCTACGACCGTAAAATCAGACAATTAATCGTAAAAACATTAAAATAATAGAGTATGATACCGCGTTCATGCTTTTTCTCAAAACCAAAACTCGATATAATGGATAGCGTGACGATACGACCCTTGAAATATTTTAGAAAGGGTTCTTAGCATGCAGATATGAATAATTTGTTGTTTTGTTTAGTTTCGTAAAATATTTTTGCTGAAAATTTTTGCATGATCGCAAATACGATGAAGGGGTATAAATATTAAAAGGAAATCGTGGATAGATTGACACAACGTTGACCTTCATATTAAAATTCAAATTTAGAGGATCATAGAAATGTTCAAATTTATATATTTATTCAGCTACTGAATGCATTTAAATTTATTTCCGGAATCATATTTTCAAGCCCTCTGGATACAAACGAGAGCTGCGACATATGTTTTAAGCTACGACACCATGACTTTAGACATATTTTGTTAGAGAGAACAAAGAAAGAATTCTGAAAGGCAAAAAAACATGTGGAATCAATAGAAACCCATTAAAAAGCAACACTCTAAGTAAGAGAACAAATATGATTTTATAAAAGACCTTAATAAGACCTGTTATTTATATGGGATGGAAACAATGACGATTAACAAGAAAGAGGAAGACAGCCTACTGAAATTTGAATGAAAACTAATGAGAACGATAGCCACAATGTAACAAGAGAGAAACAAGAATGAAAACAAATGCTGAAATTGAAGAAAGTTAAAGGGAAAAAATATGGTCTGATACAGAAAATCTCTTCGCTTAGAATGGATAGGACATATACAGTGATGCCCACACTCAAATATGGTGAGAAGGATAACTAACTTTACACCGCTATGGCCCAGGGGTAGAGTAAGGATTAAAAGAAGATGGCTGAATGATGTAGAAGATGATATAGGTACATAAAGACTGGAAAGTTCATTACAACGACAGGAAAAATGAACAAGTCACGACTGCAGCAAAGACACACATTATCGTCATTATCCTCGACCTGTATGCGTCCACTGTTGGACATTGGTCTCCCTCAGCTGTTTCCATCTGTCCCTGTCTTGTGCGGCTTCCATCCAGTTATTGCTAACACGCCTCACGTCCTCAGTCCATTTAGTTGATGGGCATCCTCGGCTCCGTACTGCTTCTTGACTTGCTCTCCACTCGACAATACGTTTTGTCCATCGGTTATAGTCGTTTTCCATCATATTGATAACACATTATGTATGCAAATCCTCAATAGGTCAAAAAACCATAGGCGTCACCCTATACTTGTTTTGAAATAAATAAAAAAAATTAATATTTTAAGATGCCGTCAACAATTCATTATCTTTTAAAAAATCTTCTGTAAAATAAGTGTCCACTAATCTCACTATACCTTTTTGTGCGTAAAAAACGTCGGTATATATGCCACACGATTATTGCTAATTATACACGGGTGATTTAACGAGAGAATTCAATTTTTCCCGAAATAAATTAATGTAAACAGTAATTTAAAAGTGATTATTGTTTTCTATACAAGTTATCGCCTGACACAAAAAGAATACCTTCTTTGAACGATTACATGGAATTACTGATAAGACTTCACTAATAATAGTTTAAGTAGTTTTTATGCCACATTACAGCTTATGCCAATAATATAAATTAGAAATTGTTTGCATCTTCCATTTAGTTTGTAGATGTACATTGTTCATGTCTTACCTACCTACGTTTTTGGTGTCGATATTTTGTTATTTGCATTTAAAAATGACGTCGACAACAGGTTTTATCCCGGTTAAGTGTAGTTTTAAAGGTGCCTTCAGTCTAAGAGAGAAAAATATAATATTAAATGTACACGATGCACTTTTACATCAACGCCCTTTAAGTAATGTTCGTGAAATCGTTAACATGTGTTCAAATATGACAGGGATTGGAGAAGCAACAATTTATGGATTCCTAAATCATCCGTATGACAGCGTCCACTCATTTTTTTTTAACAAAGAATTTCCAACATTGGACAAAATCCATTAGAGAAAACGAAGAGTTACCAACTATAAGCAACAAGAAATTGTGGGGACTATTGAGAGAGATGGGATTTCGTTGGCAAAAGAATAGAAGAAAATCCTTTTTAATTGAAAAAGATTACATTGTATGTTGGAGAGATCGGAGAGAGTTGGAGAGAGATTACATTGTATTTTTTATTTGGACAAGACTTGGCTAAATGAAGGTCATACTGTACTATATCTATGGGTTGATACAAATGTGAAAAGTTCCCGTCAGGCATTCATCGAAGGTGTATCTACTGGAATAAACAATATTCCCGTTGGAAAAGGACGCAGACTCTATAACAACCCATATTGGAAACGAATACGGTTTTGTTAATGGTGGATTATTAAGTTTTGCCTCAAAATCAACCAAAGATTACCACGAGGAAATGACTGCTGACGTTTTTGAAGAATATTTTGAGCAAATGTTGAATTTAATTCCAAAAAATTCTGTCATAGTCATGGATAATGCTAGTTACCATTCAAGACTAGCAGAAAAATTGCCAACACGGTATGGAAAAAGGAGAGATAATCGAATGGTTGGATAAACACGCAATTGAGTACAAGGAGAATTCGCCAAAAACGGAATTATTACCTATCGTAAGATAACATAAAGCAGCTTATAAAAAATATATAATTGATGAAATGGCATCAGAAAATAACTCCAGAAAATTGAAAACATGCTGTTAGTCATGCTCACAAGGAAGAAAATAAAATATGAAATTTGGATAATGTGACTGATGCAATGCTGGAACCGGTAATAATTAACATTGGAGTTGAAGATTCCTTAGATTCTGAAGAAAGCAGTAAATCTGAAATGGAATTTGATTGAAATAATATTAATTTTTTTACAAATTGGCCCCTGTTACGGCCACAAATTATTTTATATATAACCAATAAACATCCCCCAACCAATAAAACATAAAAACCTTAAAAACTATTGTATTCTATTCTGCTTCAACCTTTATACCTGGTGGTCATACTCAATTTAAAATTGTTTTCCTATATACTTCTTTAAACTTGTTGACAAATATCTATGTTTCATTGAGTCACCCGTATCAACAGTTTAGGGATTTGCATACATAATGTGCTATCAATATGATGGAAATGGACTATAATAACTTCCACTCTAATTAACATTTTTCAAAACCGACTGGAACATTCCTTGAATTGAAAATTCTACAGAATAGGCCTTAATGACCAAATCTAATGCATAGAGTTGGCGAGGTAGGTTAGGATTCAGGATTTAATTACTCATTTTCAATTATTTTATAAGATTTTTACTCACAAACGTGCTAATACACAATATAACCGGAAACACCAGAAATTACCACAATTGAAGAACTTTAAATAAATGTTCAGGAAGTTCTTGAAATACTTGAAAAGCTGAAGAACAGAAAAGCAGAAGGTAAAGACGTGATACCAAACGAATTACTAAAATATTGTGGAGCAGCAGTGACATAACAATTCACAACATTAATTAATAAAATTATAAAACACAATAAAATGCCGGAACAATGAAGAACGAGCGGATTCTACTATTCAAAAAAGGAAGAAAACTACAAATACTATCCTGAAACTTACAACTAAAATTTTACCAGCACCAATGTATTAGAAGCTTAGCAGATGAACAACAGGGTTTTCGTAGTGGAAGATCGTATACAGATGCAATATTAGAGTATAATAGATCAGCATTTTTATTTATTTACAGAGAACAAATGTTAATTGCTTTTAATCTATGAATTCTTTCAAAAAACTTTTAAATATATTAAAATTTTTAGATTCGGTAACTTCGATCATTCTAGAAGTTTCATATCCAATGAAAGATTCTTAAATCTATTTTTGATTCTAATTTTCTATCTTGGATATAAGACCAATCTGATCAATTTTCCAAACTCAAGAGATGCCATGTTCATCTAGATATTCGTTAAAAATTTAAGCAAAGTTTTATTTTAAAAGATGAAAAATATTTAGCGAAAACACTCTCACTTATCTACTTTTTTCTCCTCGGTATATACTCAAGAGTACCCCTTTTATCATTTTATCGGAACAACTAAATTCAGAAGGAAATGCCACAATTTTTAAAATTCCACATCCGTTAGATACAAAATTAACTCGGATGAACCTTTAGTCCGATATAAAATTAACCGAATGAATCATACAATTTATTATATTTGCACATTTTTTTAGAATGCCGTGAAGAGCTGCAAAGGTGCTACCAAAAATTTGAGTGATATGGCCAAAGAATTAGAAAACATCGGCAATGTTACCAGCGTGGGCGACCTTCCGCAGAAGATGGAAGAAGCCGAAGAAGCCAAGGCCGAAGTTGAAGCAATTATTCTAAAGAGGGTATGTATTGCAATTATTTCGAATATTTAATCCACAAGTTAACGGAAAATCATTAAGTTAAGATTTTTAATTATTCACGTTTTTGCTTAAACAATATTTCGTCCAGTCTTTACGATATACTTCTTGTTTTTTTTTATTCGGACTAATTTCTTTTGAGATGTATTAAGCACCTAAAACTTGCTTTTGCTTTTATCTTTCCCTTTTTAATCCAATAGGCAACATCACATTAAAACCTTGTTCCCTTATTTGTTTGTGCTTTCATGTTTAGTTTTTTTTTTTTTAGTGTTTTAGTTTTCCACGTTTCTCCCAATTTCTTAAGTGTCTTATTTCCTTTTAATAACCCCAATTTTCCCCGTTCTTTCTAGTTTTACAATTTGCTAAACATTAAAATTTGATTTTCTTATCTATTCGACAAAAACATATTTTTGGTCTATGGAAGCTAAAAAACAATTACTCCAATTCCTCAGTTTTCACATAATTCTTCTAAATACGTTAATATATGTCTCTCTTAAGACCAAACGTGAAATTTGTGCTCCTAGTATCAGTTCTCTATATTTTAAAACTCTTTTCTACTATTTTTGTACAATATAATCTTTACTGAGCTTGGCTAATCAAATTTTAGTAATTTTCTGTCTAAAGGTACTGTTAGATTATTTTCATTATTCCGGAATAGTTTTATTAAGCTTTTTCCAATTTTAACTTTTGATTTTCCCCGGCAACTCACTGTTTTATTTCTTGAAACACCTGTATCTTTTTTCTGCCGTCCATGATGTTTTCCAGCTTAATTTTTGTCGTTAAAATGTATACAGATGACGACATTATTTTATTGACCATACAACACAATGACAATCGCTGTGAGATATTACACGTTTCCACCTCTATATTCATTTCACAGTCGGTACGAATTGTCTCAATTGTCACATTGACATTAAAAACTTCAAACGAAGTTTCTGAAAGAATAAACTAATAATTAATAAAATACCTATTACGTTGTGTACCGTCCAAGAAAAATTGCAACTTGTAACATGGTACTTTCAGGATCATTCGATACGCGAAGTAATTAATTGATTTATCTATTTATTGTTGTCTTTGAAGATAGACCTCCACCAAGTGCTACAACAGTTAAAAATACCATTAAACATTTTCAAACTTCGGGATGTGTAAACAGTTGTAAAAAGTGTTTTTTTTTTTTCTCTCTCTCTCAAAGAAAACATCAAACATTGGCATCAATTTGAAAGGACCACTAACCTAGTCGAATTAAGAGCAAAAATACTTCATTTCTCCATTGCACCAGCCCTACTCCAAAATATGAGGAGATATCAGTATGACAGATTTGGTTACTGTTTAGCACAAGGAGGTGGATTATTTGAGCCCTTAATTCATTAATCTGCTTCGTCCTTAATTTTTTGTTAGGTACATTTGTAACGATCGTATTTTGCCTACCAAAGGGTTGATTAATACAGGGGGTAGAAAATTAGGGGAAAAACTATTGGGGGTGGAGATAGGGCAAGCAAAGCAATCGCTACTGATGCGAACGGCACTCAGGGTTTCGTAGAAGAGCTGGGGTCGTGGATAAGTAAAAGATAAGGGCATTGGAATGGGGGAACTACAAAACAAATGAAATAAAGGCTCTTGGGATAAACAAAATAAAAATAAACAAGAAACACCTCAAGGAATTTAATATAGGGCGCCACTTGAGGTGCCTAATTATGCCTATTACAACCACTAGTTGTAACTAGGGAAATAATTAGAAAACAAAATCAAAACATAAAAAACATATCTTTTTCAAATAAACTCGAAAGGGTTAGCTCAAAAAAAAAATAAATAAAATGTTAAGACAACAAAATTTAACATTTATTTATGTGTCACCACAAACAGTTACATGGAGAAATACAAAATTCAAAAACTTACATGTGTCATCCATTAACAAACTCCATTGCTACAAAAACAAAATTGCATGGAGGTTAACCTTTTAAAAAAAAACAAAACAAATCAACATCAAAAATACTAAAACGAGCTGTCATAAATTAACATTAAATTTCAAAAAAAACTAAACACAAATTGACAGCTTTACTCAAAACCTAAAATTTACAATTTTAACTGTCAACGAAAGCAATTATTATTTTATAAAAAAAATGTCTGTCCTTAGTTTAAAATTTGAACAAAATGTTACCTTAATTCACATGATCACACTTAAGTTTCTGAAACCATAACTGGAACCTGGAACTGAGGGCTCCACTCTCTCTGGATCACGAAAACCTCCATCTTCAAACTGCCAAAAGCCTTGGATAGAAACAGGAACAAAAAAAACGAGGATGTCCTCCAATCCTCACTCAAAACATTAATAATTGAAGCATTTACTGCTACAAAACCAATAACAAACTGCTACATATTCTTCATAATAAAAGATGAAAACGCTACAACGAGAGTGAAGAAATTCTATTAAAATTGAACGCATACATACAAACGCTGACATAACAAGACACCACGAAACGACGTACATATCCTTTTGCGACGCATTAACTTGAAAAGAAATTGCCGAAGTAAAATAAACAACTCTAAAATGGTTTATTTCAACTTGGCCGACCTAAGAAAGAAATGAAAGGATATTTGGGTTTAAATACGTACGAAATATTTTTAGATCTATCAAAAATATATAAGGTGATTTTAATATTTCGTATACGAGGGGACTTCAATATACTTCAAAGAATCAATGAAATTGAAAATACTACACATTTTACGAACTTTGTAGGTTCTTAATTAGGTAGTATTTTTTATGTTTAAGTTTGGAAGAATTTTATTGTTTTTTTTTTATTTAAAAGTACAAACGATTGTTATTCTGATTTTTTTCTTCTTTCTTTTCTTATTGCTATAAGCGTTGCCCATAAAATTTGTACAATTTTCAGTGACAATAAAGCATATTACTTATTTACTTACTTATTTATTTGTATTGCTATTAATGCAAAATATAAAAAAAAATAGTTTTATAGAGCATTATAATAAATATACTCTAGAGATGGAATTGCAATAAATCTTAATTCCTATGGTCAACAAAACAATGTCGTTATCTATATTTTAGCGTTCATTGAATATCCAAGATATAGCAATTATTATCGTCATAATGTCTTATTTTTCTTTATTGCTCATTGATGGTGTCGGATATCTGTGTTTATCAACCATACACATAGTTTTACGTAATTACTGGTGATAACAACCGCATACTCTGCATATCGGTGATAGTTATCTTGTTACCTTTCTTTCTGATTGATATCCCCATACTTCCAGTATAATGTTTTGAAGATTTCTTTCATTGAGTTAGTATACATTATAGTATGATTTTGAATCTATTAGAAAATTAAATAAAATTTATATTTTTATGAATTTCAATATAATTAACAAGAAAAAAATTATTGAATTTTATAATTTATATAAGTATGTGGATTAATTAAAGATGCCAAATTTGAGTTAAATCTTTATTATATTCAAGGTTCTTATTTGAGTTCAGAAATAAATACCTTTGTCGTTGGCTAGTGTTTATTAGTGAACAGGAATAGAAGGAAATAAATAAAATTCAAAATTGTCAATACAATTAAATATAATGTTAAAATTTTTGAGAAAATGATTACACATGTAAACAAATCACTATCTATTTCTACCTTATAAATTAATTCTATTATTTGTTTCGTTTCAAAACTTTATGCCTCTGCAATCTATCTATCTAATTAGCCTTCTTCGGTCCATCTTTGGACATAGGTCTCTCCAATCCTTTTCCATTCTTCTCTGTCTGTCGCTACGGTCATCCATCTAGAGCCCACGTGCTTCTTGATATCATCTGCCCATCTCATTTGGGGCCTTCCTCTGCTTCGTTTATATTCCCACGGTCTCCAACTTATAAGAATTTTGTTCCATCGGTCTTCTTTTTGGCTTATATTATGTCCGGCAAATCTCCATTTCAATTTTGCAACTTCTTGTCTAACATCCCTCACTTTTGTTTTCTCTCTTATCCACTCTTATCCACTCGTTTCTTCTTTGCCTCTGTAATATTGTTCTAAAAAACCAGTTACCTTTCAATTCTAAAATGTTCCTGATATTCGTTTATCAATCACTCTCTAGCTAACCTCCTTCTTGTTGTTCTGTTTACACATAACGTAATAACAATCCTTCCTATCTCGTTTGGCTGCGAAGAATCTCCTTGTCAATGATTCTCACGATAAATAATAACTTATTTGTACTTACAAATAATGCCAAACTTAAGACCAAAACTGTTACCACTTTTTAAACTCTTACTTACAAAAATTTTACTGTGAGCAACAAAGAAAACCCTCTCAGTTTTCAACAATCCATGCTTAATTAAAATTTTCCTTCTACCCTCTTTTCTTCGACCAATGGTCTTTCAGTTCTTTAAAGTCCAACCAAATTCCCGAGTTCTCATAAGTGACTTTCAAGTTTTCCAAATGTTGTGTTCCATGAACGAACTAATAATGGACCTGGATAATTAATTAACTTTCTTTAAATTTCCCAGAGGTTTTAACCAAGGATGCGAAAGACAATAGAAACCTTTATCGCTTATATTTTGTTTATTTAATTGTCTGATGCAGGTAATTCTGGTTTTATCAGAAACGTAACTCTCATTTTGCCAATCTTGCACTATCCGATACTTCTGGATTGATTTTGTACCTTCATAGTTCAGAAACTTCTCAGTTATCTTCTACTAAAGTACCTACAGCTTCTAGAAGTTGTTTTAGGAACTCTGACTTAGCTAGTGTAGGATTTTTTCTTATTATTTACCCCTTTTTTGGTCTTCATGTAGCTGTAAAAATGCTTCTTAACTACAGATTTGCTTCTTGTAATACATACATTTAAATCTAAAGAATAAAAGCTATTTATTTATCTTCATTAAGAATGCAGGGTAATTCTACATAATTTTTTAAGTGTGTATGTACATCCCGTTATAACTCATATTATGCAAAATCCAAGTTTCCAATGTTTAAACTACTTATTTGTTTTTTAGAACGGATTACTACAAGAAACATCCGAAGAATGGGAACAGTGCGAGAAAAAGATAAAGGATGTTAAGAGCTGGATAGAAAAGACTAAGACAGCTTTAGACTCGCCGCAAAACAAGAAAAAACCACTTAGGGACCAACACGGAATTAGAGAAAAAATGTTAGCCGACATCCATATTCAGAAAACCAAAATATCGCTGTCAGTAGAAAAATTACAGGTGAGTTTCTTTTTTACATACAAATTTAAATTATTCAATGCATTTGGTCCGTGGTAAGATGCATCCTAGATGCTTTTGTCAACAGCAATAAACGAAGAAACTAGTGAGATACTACGAAATATCAAAGGACTCGACTGAAACTCGAATATTATTATCTTGAAATCTCTGCGCCCTATGCTGCGCACTTATTGACCCCAAATTCAGTAGCGTTCTTACCTGAACCAAGAGTACTAGGTATCAAGTTTAAATAGCCTGGAACTTTTTCTTAAAAAGTTCTCACGCAAACGGACAGACAACGACACAGTTATTGAAACAATATAAGTTACTTACTAACTGACAGTTTCAGGGTCACAAAGGGCGTGAGACAAGGCTGCATACTAAGCCCAATTTTATTTAACATCTATGGTGAATGGATAATTCGGAAAGCTACTGAGGACTATAACGGTGGCATCACCATTGGCGGGAAGAAGATTTGCAACTTGAGATATGCAGATGATACTACTATCCTCGCTAGTTCTGAAACTGAATTGATTCACCTGCTACAACGGATAGAAGACGTAAGCTTAACGATAGGCCTTCAAATAAACAGGGATAAAACGAGAGTCATGATAATTGACAGAGCTAACAACAATCAAAATCATCTGCTTAGGATAAACAATATCGCTGTTGTAGATAAATTTGTGTATCTGGGCTCATTAATAACCAACAAAGGAGGCTGTACTGAAGAAATAAAGCGGCGGTCAGCAATCGCAAAAAGCGCTATGGCAAAATTAACAAAAATTTGGAAAAGCCATGAAATTACTACCGATACAAAAATGAGACTAGTAAGAAGTCTAGTTTTTCCAGTTTTTACTTATGCATCGGAATGCTGGACCCTTACTGAGAAAGACAAAAAGAACATAGATGTATTTGAGATGTACTGCTGGAGACGAATGCTGAGAATACCATGGGTGGCCCGAAGAACAAATGAATCCATACTGGTCCAGCTAAACATAAAGAAAAGACTAAGAACACAAATAACAGAACAGATAATAAGCTATTTTGGACATGTACTTCGAAGAAATGGTCTTGAAAAACTTACCATCCAGGGAAAAGTAGAAGGCAAAAGAAGTAGAGGTAGATCTCCTACACGATACACGGACCATATTGTTGCTACCATTGGCGCTTCATTGTCAGAATGTGCTAGATTGGCAGAAGATAGAAAAACGTGGAGGAACATTGGAAAAATTACCTAACAGCTTCATGATATCACGATACCTGCATCAGGTTAACGACTAAGAAGAAGAAGTTACTTAACCAACAAATATTAGGATATACAGCTTATAAAACTAAAGTCAAAACGTTTTGTTTTTGTTGTCACAGGTATAAACTGAACATTAGCATTAAGTTACACAGTAAAACACTCAAGCCATCAGTCTCAATAATATTTAGAACACTAAAGTGTTATTTGCGGTCTCTATTACTATATGGCTGTGAGACCTGTACATTAAAACGGTATGACGTTAACAAATTAAATTCATTTGAAATGTGGATGTACCGCCGAATGTTAAGAATAAGCTGGACCAGCAAAATTACGAATGAAGAAGCACGAGAGTAATGAACACGCGCCCTCATCTGATATATCTAGGACACATAATGCGCCATAGTGAATTTGAGCAGCTCCAGGTAATATTAGAAGACAAGATTGAATGTAAAAGGGGCACAGGACGAAAGAAAAAATCTTGGCTACGAAACATCAGAGATTGGACCCACACAAGAGGAAATGAATTAATTCATTAAGCCAAGAAGAAGAAATTTGCCATATTGATCTCCAACCTCCACAGAGAAGGCACTTAGGAGAAGGACGATTTTTATCCTAACGTTACGAAGTTAACGAAAAGATGTATTAATTATATATGTAATATACGTTACCGGGAATTCACCACAGCATTATCGAGGCCTTCTACGAAGAAGTTCCATTATACTTAGGAAGAGCGAAGAATAAAGAGAAAGAGAAAGATACAGAAGTGATCGGTATTGGAGAAAAGAGGACTCCACTAATCTACTGTAAAAAAATTAACAAAACCGGGAAAAATGATCAAATATTTGTCTTATTTTGAACACCTGGATGCAGATTGTTTTAATCATATATTTACCTTTTAGGTCCATTTCCGTTCCGGTATAGAAAGTGACTCAAAGGTCACCGAATCCGCCGAAGAACTGCTAGTCGAACTCGACCAGCTCGCCCAGGTCATAAAAACTCAAAGTACAGAACTAGAAACCGCCATTGCCCAAGTAGACAACTACCAACAAGAAGTTCAACAACTACGCCAACAAATCGTCCAAGTTGAACAACAACTAAGAACAACAATGGCGCCCAATTATCTTCCCCATGACAGAGATCAAGCACTCCGCGACCAACAGGTAAGCCCAGTGTGTTGTTTGTTTTCTTTTGACATTAACTCAAAAATAACTACTGTGTAGAATAGATGGGAGTGGCATGAACTGTTGTGACGTTGTTTTAAAGGTCCCAGTTCAGGAAAGTGACTAAAATTTCAGATGTTCTAGCGACTAGAGCGCTATCTGGTGGCAGAAATACGAATTTTATTCGAAAATATGTGAAAGAAGCTTTGCTTCGTAGATCTTGGTAATTAAACAATGACTTAGGAACAGATCAACTGTTATTATAGCTTTTTAGTGCAAATTCTTGGTTTTAATGTGTTTTAGATGTCCAAAGATTACGAAGACATGAAACAATAATTTTGAAGGTAATGGAATAATTTTTTTCTAGCTTTATAGATTGCTTCTAAGTTATAATTTTATAAGTTAGATCAATACTATTATATTCTATTTTCTTAATCTTAGAATAAACACATTTGTGCAAATCTTCACGATTTTTCAGCATCATATTTGTAGATGACGATAATAAACACTTTCAGAACAATAATTCCGAATTATAGAACTAGATTGAAGAATTATATAGCTTCAAGGTTCAACCAATAAAGGGCAAAAGAATTCGTCTAGTGAGTACTATCTCAAATTAATAATTCTACGTGATTTCGTAAGTTATTTTTCTTTTTTAAACAACTAATCATGTTTTTAAAAAGAAGGATTTTGGTATTATCAACATAAAAAAATTATGATTTTACTACATAAAACTTATTTTTTTATCTGTAATATAACGTTTTTAGGTATTACTATCAAAATATCTATAAAAATGTTTAATAAAAATTGAAATAAAAATCATTAATTGATAATAATATCCATCAATATCAATATAAATCAAAATCAAGAAAAAAAATTGTATATGTATTCCATACTGTAAAGAAATAGTTTTATATGTCAGATGAAGGCGATTTTTCAAGTGTTTTTGATAAAATTTTGTATTTTTTGCCATTTATAGCGCGGTAGTTGTGTTAATTTTAGCGATTGATGTTAGTTACATGTATGTAAAACATATAACGTATTAGTTTCTCTGTATGTTAGTAAATGTCGTGAAATTTTTGACAAAAACGAAGACATTTTTTGTTAGAAGAGATACGTAATTAGAAATTCTGTATAGAGAATAAGTTCAGTTTGTGGTAGGTTTATGTGGTACATTATTAAATGTGTAAAAATATTGTATTTGTCTTTAAATACTCACTTCATGCTTCCTTGTATCGAAATTTTCTAATTTTGCTCATAACCCAGTTTTACAAATTTGAAAAAGGACGTTGATAGACTGAGTATTCTACAGCATGTGATACAGTTTACAAAAATATATTTGACCCTCGTCTGTAGGAACGATTTCAAGATTTAATAAAGATCAAAGAGATACTGTTTCATTTTAAAAGACAATCAAGTATATATACTTTTTTAAACCGCTATATTTATCCACAAAATCATTCTCAAACTTCTCACTGGATATTGTTTTAGAATATTGTCAACTATACTACATTTTGGTTATATTGTTGTTTGTGTTTAAATGACTGCGGACACTAAATCCATTCGCCAATCTTACAATTTGAGGTGTATTGTGTGTGTGTGTGTGTGTGTGTGTGTGTGTGTGTGTGTAGAGTAATTGTCTTGATACTTAGCAAAGTCGACGTCATTGTCTTTGCTAAGAGACGCTAATTGTATCCGAACGTCTGCGGTCCCTCCGGTGTGTACCGATCACACAAGGATAGAAATTATTTTCATTTATTAATTTTTTTAATAAACGAAAATTTCCACCCAGGTGGGATTCGAACTCCCGACCTTTAGGTTTAAAGGCAGGCGCTCTTACCACTGAGCCACAGAGGGGGTTATTTTGGTTATAAAAACTTACCTGTTGTTTTTTTACAACATTTTTTTTCCTAAAAAACTGACACGGCAAAACAAAAGTGATAAATAAAGAAAAAAAAAGCGAATTCGACAATTCTTTAAATGCATTGTCTCGGATGGAGTACATTGAGTACTGTCAGTTTTCAAAATTATAATAAGGCCAACAAGAGCCGTCAAAATTCGGTGTGTTTATGAAAAACTAACCTTGGTATTATTTAAATCGACTTTTAAACCGATTAATACACGAAATAATGGATAAAAGGGGTGCAAATACAAAGGAAAAAATATCACACAGTAGAGATCAATAAAAGTGGAAGCGAGAAACTATCTCTGTTGTTATTCAAAACGCGCACAGGCCAAATGTACGGTCCATATATCCGTTAGTGATGGGACTATCGATTACTTTATACTATCGACTAGCGACTAGTCGACTACTTTTAAATATCGATTAGTCTAGTCGACTAGTCGGTGGTAGGCGTGGTCAGCTGTCAACTGTCAGTCTCAGTGTGTTTTGTTGGGGACAACGCAACGATGTAAAAATACCCAGGATAGAACCTGTGAATAAAATGCTTCGGTCCAAAGTAGTTGCTAACACTAGCCTATCTGAACCTACCATAGCCGACTCTTAGTATCCGGAATGCTTTCTCTTGATTTCCGGAATGCTTTCTCTTAATTTCCGGAATGCTTTCTCTTGATTTATGAATGAATTTCTTGATTTACCTTCTATTCTAGAACTAGTCGTTTGCCGTTTAACCGTTTACAATCGACTAGTTATAACAATCGACTAGTTGATAATCTGAGTACTAATCGGTTAAACCACTAGTCGACTAGTCGATTACCCCATCACTAATGTCCGTCCATCCGACAGTCGCCAGTCAGTCCGTCCATCCGACAGTCGCCAGTCAGTCCGTCCGATAGTCGCCAGTCCGTCCGTCCGACAGTCCGTCCGTCCGTCCGTCCGACAGTCTGTCCGTCCGTCCGTCCGACAGTCTGTCCGTCCAATAATCCGTCCGACCGACAGTTCTTCCGTCCAATAATCCGTCAGACCGACAATTCGTCCGTCCGTGGGATATTTAAAAACGGTTTTTTACTTTCGATTTCGATAAAACTAGAAAAAGCCCATTTATTCGTATACTCTAACATCTCTATTAATCGAGCTTTGATAATGAAATCAGCATCTACGTAAAAAACGCGTCTAAATGATGTATTAGTTCTGGATCCTTGTTAAATTGTACTAGATACTTCTAAGAAACCAGTCTTTTGTATGCCTGTATTAGCTACTAGTTCTCAATTTGTGTTTTCCTGTCTCTATAGTATCCAAAGGTTATATATTATTTTCCGAATTTTCCACATACGTTATATTTCCGTACCATATCACAAAACTGAGCTTTTTCCTGTGCAGGATGGATACACAATAAGGTAAGAAGTTACTTACAAACGACCTTAGTCATCAATACATTTTGTATAGTACTCTAGACCATCAATATGTGTACATGCTAACATCCATTTAGATCAGTAGAAACAAAAACACCAAAATTGTTGTTGATTTAATATACCATCATTACACCACGGTGTCGGTAAAATAGTAAATCTGAAAAAAGCGTACGGGCTATCAGTGGCGTGTCCAAAAAAGGTTAATAAAAATTAACTAGGTATCAAAAGTAGTTTAGTATTGATACGCCACTGAAAAATTGATTCAGATCATGCCACGACCATCATTTGCCAAAGCGCACTGCAGCCATAGTGAAGCGAAATTTAGTAAAACACAAGAAAACACACGACTTATATTAATAATCATTTTATCGAAATGTACTTTTAATATATATTTTAGGAATATTCACGAACATTGTACTGTTCTTTTTGTTGGACATTTTAAAGTAAAAGTCAATATTATATATAAAATGCTTTAGATGTGAACGCAGACGAAACATTTATGATATATTTTTTGTGTAAATTGACCAATAGAGTGTGAATCAACCGATTATAAACTATTAAATATTCACTATATATTTAATGTTGCAATGTATATTCTTTTTGCCGTCGTTTTTTCATGTTTTATGTTCTTTTTGTGAAGAATTTTGTACAAAACACTCATGTCTGTAATTATTTGTAGTAAAGATAATAAGTTTGTTGATTTGTCGCTATTAAATATTTTTATCGATAATTGTTATCCTTGATTTAAAAATCTGATTTAGAAAAAACATTGAGTCGAGTTATATCGTAAATTGTGATTTGTGTGTAATAAATGATCCAAATAATAACTTAATATAAAAGTATATCTTATCTGCAACAAAACCATAGTTTTAATAAAATGGAAGTAGACGTAGAAAAACACATGGAATTACAATAAAAATGAGTAAAGAACAAAGAAAGAAGAGTGTTTGAAGCGTTCAGTAGATGTAGTTTAAAAATGGTCGTTTTCGACAATTAAACAGCTTTTTAAAATTATTTTTTTGTAAACGTCTTTTTTAAAATTCTAAAATACGTCTTTTGAAAACTACATTTTTAAAAACGTTACTGTAAGTAGCTTTTTTTAAAACCCACATTTTTAAGTAAATAACGAAGTAATTTGTTTTGAAAATGGTTAATTGTGATATTTTGGAAATGGACGTTATTTAAGTACGAATTGTGAAATGCTTCAAAACGTCTTTAAACGGTACGTTTTAAAAACGACATTTTTAAAAGATGTTTCAAAAACGACGTTTTTAAAAGACGAAGTTTCAAAAACGACATTCTTAAAAGACACGTTTCAAAAAAGACGTTTGTTAAATACGTTTTAAAAACGACGTTTTTTAAATACGTTAATCCTATGTTTCAAAAACGACATTTTTAAAAGGACTTATTTTGAAAACGTCTTTTGTGTGAAGCGTATCTAAATAAGTATTTTTTTTTTATATAAAATATATGTTTAAATAAAATAGGTCAATTGGAAAACTACCTTTTTAAAATTTATTGTTTTTTTAAATAACATTAAATGGCACGTTAGTTTGAGAGCAGCCTTTCAGCATACCTTTTTTTTTAAATCCAGTTTTTAACGGAATTTGTGTTAAAAGTGATGTACTTTTGAAAACAGATAAAGCCTATATAAATACATACAATTTCCGTGATCAATTTTTTTTTTA